GCTATTTAGGTAACAAATTTTTTGGTTTTGCAGGTATAATACTTTATTGTTTAATTGTATAAATGCAAATATTACTGTTCTGTGCATCTTTTTAAGTAGTATGATTGAATGTATTAATATCTTTTCAGAACAAGGATGCTATTTAATAAGACTCATTAACCCAAAATCTTATGTGGGCAGATATACTGTAGCAGAGCTTTCCCTTTTGTCATGGTTTCTGGGCTGCTGCCCTAGATAGGCTGGCTGATAGGAGCTCTGGGCAGTTTAGCAGCTAGGCTTTTTGTCTTCAGTAGTCATTGACTTGATAAATAAAAAAATACAGATAATTATCTACCTAAATATCCACTTACGCATCTTCAGGTTATGTTTTCATTGGAAGGGTTACTCTTTTTACCAAATTCCTGATGTGCCCATAGGTATGTGAATGGATGTCTCTAGTATGATTGGTTTGGCTCCCGTATTTTCATATCCTATTCTTGGTTCTGTTTTTTTGCCACATCTAAAATCCCCCACCACTGAATTTAGCAGGGGGAAGAGACTTGTTTTAGTACCTTTACAGTGTCTTGTTGATACTGGCAAAGTCTTGGCTGCAAGACGGACTGTTCTGCTGGCTAAACCTGTGACTGTGTCCCAGGACCAGTGTGTCTGCTGACCAGTGTGGCCAGTCTATCATGAAAATGCAGGAGGGAGAGCTGATTTTTGACAGCTCTTCCCTGTACAGCCCATGCGTATATGACTTCTGAAGTGGGATAAAACTTGCATGGGTATCTGGTGTAGTAATGGGCCAGTAAAGGTGGTGGATGTTCCTACAACACTGCCTGCGATCCTAGGAAAAACTTGAGGTTATCAAATGGACTTTATTTTATGGAAATCATAGAACCATAGAACAGTTTGGGTTGGAAGGGGCCTTTAAACGTCATTTAGTCCAATCCCCCTGCAGTGAGCAGGGACATCTTCAACTAGAGCAGGTTGCTCGAGGCCTCTCTCCACTCGGATTTGCCCTGTCCAACCTGACTTTGAATGTCCTAACACTACAGGCCCTGCTAAAAAGTCTGTCCCCATCTTTCTGATAAGCCCGCTTGAAGTACTGGAAGGCCTCCTCTTCTCCAGGCTGAACAACTCCAACTCTCTCAGCCTGTCCTCAGAGAAGAGGTGTTCCATCCCTCTGAGCATTTTTGTGGCCTCCTCTGGACCTGCTCCAACAGGTCCATGTCTTTCCTGTGCTGAGGGCTCCAGAGCTGAACGCAGGACTCCAGGTGGGGTGTCACAAGAGCGGAGTAGAGTGGCAGAATCATGTCCCTCAACCTGCTGGCCATGCTGCTTTGGATGCAACCCCGGAGATGATTGGCCTTCTGGGCTGCAAGCACATGTTGCCGGCTCATGTGCAGCTTTTCATCCACCAGTCCCCCCAAGCCCTTCTCAGCAGGGCTGCTCTTGATCCCTTCATCCCCCAGCCTGCACTGATACCGGGGGCTAGGTGCAGGACCCTGCCCTTGGCCTTGTTGAACCTCATGAAGTTCACATGGGCCTGCTTCTCCAGCTTATCCAGGTCCCTCTGGATGGCATCCTGTCCCTCAGGTGTGTCAACGGCACCACTCAGCTTGGTGTCATCTGCAGACTTGCTGAGGGTGCACTTGATCCCATCAACAGACAAACTTTCCTGGAGCAAAAACAATTCATGCGGAAATCATCTGTTTGAGTCTGACAAATCCTTGCTCTTATGCTCTTGCAGCTTTGCTCCTCTCCTCTCCCTACTGCAGTCATCCTAGGTTTTCTTCAAATTTCCTTCAAATATAGACACCATTATGCTGCATCAGATGCCTACAGGCTGCCTGACTAGTAGAGGAACACAACGGTTGTACTTGCATGGACCTCCTAAATGCTGATCCACCATGTCATCTCATTTGCACCCTTCTACTCCCTCAGGCCATGGGGACACACGTGAAGCTGAGAATTGCATTTGTCCCACTGCTCTTGGGCTCTGTTGCATTCTCTGAACGTACAAGCAATGCATGAAATTGCATTGCTCAGTGGCATGCTCAACACAGTCACCGCTGAAGTACAGAAGGTACCTCTTGGAAATCTCCTAGATTTTGGGGGATGAAGATCTAACAATGTTGTACACTTTATATAGGGTTGTTTTGTGTTTTTTTTTTTTTAAAGGGGTTTTACTGATCTTTTCTTTGAAAGTAATATCTCTTGGAATGAAACAGGCTGTGCCTGTTGGAATATATAGAAGAGATTTGAAGGTTCTTAAAGGTTCTTAAAGTACCTTTTGAATGAAGTTTCTCAAATCGATGGTGGGGGAAAAATAATCACTGTGCAAATATACCGTGAAATCTAAGTTAGAAGTATGTGTGCTGTGATTGCCATACAATAGAAATAAATGGATAAAAGCAATTAATCCTTTTTTACAAAAAAATGGCCTCACTTTCTGGAATACAGAAAACTTACTTGCACATTTTTGCTGTGTTGGGATGAAAGATTATAATTCCTCAATGGTTCGTCTGCTGTGGAAGTTGGGATCAAGAGGTTGGGTCCAGTTTATTGAAGTCCTGGTGCTGGCTGTAACATTTTTCATAGAATCATAGAATCTTTGGGTATGAAGGGACCTTTCAAGGTCATCTAGTCCTTTTCCTGTCAGTGAAACTGTTTGAGTCCAAGGACGGCACAGAACTGAGAGGGTAAAGGCCTTAATCAGAGCTTGTATATTAAACCCACTTCGGAATCAAGGTCCTTCCTATAACAGGGATATCTTACCAAAGCTAGTGGTTCTGTGTATCACCTTTTCATTCTTCTCTTCAGGAGCATTTCCGGCAAGGTCATGCACACGAGGTAAAATTGTGCATGAGGAGGAGGTGTTAATACAGAAAGAGGTGATCGTTACTATGTCACTTATGAGCATGTTCTTTTTGAGTGGAGAGTAAGCAACATTCCCATGAGGAAATATCTGTGAGGCAGAACTTGAATATAAACAAAAGGCTGGTGGAGCAGCGTCAGCAGCATCTTCCCCTGCTTTTATACTCATTAGTTTAATGTTTTAGTTCATGTATCCATATGTCAAGACAACTAGTGATTTGTTGTATTTATTGTGAGAAGTTCTGCTGATGTATAGTGCTCATTAAACTTTGGGTTTGTCCAAAATAGGTTTTGTCTTGTCCCTGCGTAGTGTTGTGAGGTGTCAGACTTCAGTGACCAGGATTCTCTGTGTAAATCATAATTGTTAATAGCAGGTTTTTTTCTAATTTTGTATGTGGGCTTTACATATTGTATTTATCTCAACTTCTCCCTTTTTATTATTTTGTAGGCTACTTAATGCATGAATTCCACAAATTCTGGATTGAAGAGGATCCACTGGACATAATGGAGTTCAATCGTGTCAGAGAGAAATTCCACAAGCAAATCTTGAAACAGCTTCAGAATCCAGAGATGGCTCTGTGCCCTCATTTTGCTGCGTCAGAAAATTTAATCAATATGTAGTTACTCACTTGATTTTTATTTGGAAACACTGCCTCACTCTTGTGTTAGATCACTAGCTAGACCATCACTAGCATACTGAATGACCATGGCGATTGTATGCATGTTTTTGGTGCAGTATTCATCTATTTTTGTCACACGTAGTAGATCCCCTTAGGCTTCTCATGCTGGGGATTGCTCATTGGAAATGGGTGCTCATATTGCGGCATTATGCAGTGTTACGTTCTGAATTGATGTCCATGTATCAGAGTTTTTCTATTTTTTTAGACTTTCCTCATAATTCAGCATTGACAATTGAATTGTATTTCTCTAGCTGTGTTTTTGTATATGTGGAATAAGTAGCTGGATCTTGTATCGTGAAAGCTTTTTAACTTCTTGGTGTGTTTTAAGATAACTACTGGCATTTCAAGCAAAATATATGTTTGGACCTCATCTAGAAAATAATGTGTGTAATTTAATCTGATGCAGGCAAACATATTAAAGTCCAGTTATCTCCATGCGGCCATATATGCTTAATGCAGAACTAATGAGGCTTATGAGCTACAAGTTTCAGTGAGAAAAGTTTATGCAGAATTACAATGAGACTCCACAGCTGCATGAATACCAAATGGTCTGGTGATGCTAATACAGTCACAGGTGAACTGCAAACACACTCACAACTACTGGATATTGGCAGGGGCCAAAAATTACATCATCAGGCTGTTGTCACCACCACCACCATGCTGAAGCATGGTCTAAATTCCTGCACATTCCTTTAATTATATGGGGATTAGTATTCTGTGTCACGTGTTGGCAGGCAATGTGATTTGGTCATGTTGTGCTTGGTGAATTCAGGGGAGCAAAAAAAAAATTTTTTTTTGAACTACTGAAAATGTTGCTTTGGTTGTCAATTCAGTTCCTAAGATCTGGGGCAATAATTCATTAGAAGGTTTAGAGCAAAACCAACTTGAGTTTCCCAGACTACTTATAAAAAAATTTAAAATGGCAAACTGCCTTTTTTTCTAAAAACATAAATGAGTAAAAGTGTCTGACACTAAGCTTGTGTAGTATATTGAACAGCATCTACCATGGCATTTCATACCCATGGTATTTTTTACCTTCTAAGCAATCAATTTTAGTATTACATGTTTGTGTAAATCACTTGCATATGGAGATTAAACTTGAGTAGTGTCCAGCTACTTGTGAATTATACAAATAAATTATATGTCATTCTAAACTGAAGCGCTGTGGGTTTTATTTCTGAGATACGCAGTAGTACAGATGAAAACTATTTTACTTGAATAGATCAGGTAAAAGGGGATGTAGCAGCTTTGTGGTACTTCCCTAATCTGAAGAGTGATCTGAACTTCCTCGGATCAGGTTCTTTATACCATTTCAAGTTACAGCTTGGGGCATCACTTCATAAGTAAAAAATAAAGCAATGGCAGTGGTTAAAGTTCTTGGAAAACTCCTTTGGGGATTTAAGTCTTCTCATTTCTGTGCTCAAATGTGCAGTGGGGATCGGGGCTTCTCTGCAGGGCTGGAAACTTGCATGCATGGCTGAGTTAATCAGCAAAACTCTATGGGTGTTGCAATAATTAGCGTTCTCCAATTAATTTGGAAATACGGAACTGAAAATATTAACTATTGCATATTTTGCATGAAAATACAAGGAATAAAACCTGCGCATGTTTAACTTGCTATCACTGGTTTTGGAAAGTGATTATTTATGATGATTAGATATTGAGGACTTCTTTGCGTCACTCTTGAAGCTTCTAAAATAAGTTTCTAGCAACAGTTTTCATAATTTAAAATCTTAGCCTCTCGCTTTCTTTCCCTGCCCCACTCTTTAACTTAAATTCCTTCTGTGATTTGCTAGGCTACACTGGTTTACTTCTAATGCTCTGCACTGGTGTTCATGGAGTTGAGGGCGGGGAGGAGAAGGTGAGCACGAAGGTCCCTGCCTACCTTCTTTACTGGTGTGATGGTCTCAGTTGTTATGCCTTGTCTCAAGGTGTCAACTTCAAATGAAATCAGAAAATGTCAGCTGGCTCCCTGTCAGATTGTGTCACTATAACCCAGCTGCTTTGGGTGATTGTTTTCCTGTCTTGCAGTGAGATGGATTTAATGAAGCTAAATGTGAAATTCCTCCTCCTGTGGAGCCCCTGCGTGCTGGTGCCTACAGATCGTATCATACTGCCCACTCGTGCTTCAGCTTTGGCCTGTGACATCCTTGTTCTCAAAATCCTTGTCAAACCTGGGGCCGAGAATGTCCCTGGTGACCGCCAGCCTGGCTGTGTGCTGCTCGGGGAGGAGGTCTGTCTGGCACTGCCTGCCTTCCTCCCCAGGAGTGGCCTCTTACCATAATGCAAACCTAAACTTTTCTTTTAAAAAATAGTATTTATATTATCACTAATAAATCTCCAAACTGACCTGTGAGGTCAGCGTGCTGCTTTCCCTAAGAAGTAGGAGAGAAAAAAAAACCAACAACAACTATAAAAAGTTGTTTCAAGAAAGTAGAATCAATATTTATACCCACTGCAGGGTGCAAATTTTGGTTTAATTGAGAGTAGAGAAGATTTAGGTTGGATCTTTCAAAAAGCTTTCCACAGCCTCATGGCTGGGGGGGGTCCGCTGACGTCTCCTCTCTGCGCTTCACCTGAGATCTCCCGGCAGCCCCGGTGAAGCTGGCTGGCCGCTTGCTGCCAGGAACACCTCGTCCCTGGCCCTGCGGGCACAGGCAGCAAGTGCTGCCTGCCCAGCCTGTAAAGCTCTTTGGCACCTTTCTTTTTTAATAGGTATTTTTCTTTGGCAAATAATTTACATCATTGGCTGCATTTTGGTTACAGCCGGGAGGAGAGCGAGCGCGGTTCTGGCTTCCGTCACTTTTTGGCTTGTAACTTTTTTTTTCCATTGGGGAAAGAAGAATTATTTTTGCTGAGGTTCTTACTGGCTCTTTCGGAAAGTACTTTTTCAAATGCTGGTGGTATTGCTATGTACTATTTTTAGCAGAAAAAACATCTATCTTATCTACGCAGTTTGTCTTGGAGAACTGTATCTCCAGGCTGTTTCCCAGAGCAGCACTGAAGCTGGGCTGGAAAATTTCCTGTTGTGTAGAGGGCAAAGGGGATTAATCCATTGTCCTCGTTAACGGGAGAGTAATCTTTAAAAGCACCTGTACCTGCTGTGTGGTCTGTGGGGCATGGTCTGTGGGTCATGCCCTGCGGGGCACGGCTGGTAGTGATGGCTTAGCGGTGCTGGCTGAGGCACTTCGCTGCAGGTGGAGAATTTTCGGCATGTTCCCAGTTGAAGGAAGTGCTGTTAGGTGCAGCAGGAGGCACGTGAACACAGTTCTGATGCTCGTGTTAATGGACCCAGATCTGCTGCTACTAGCCCAAAGAATTAGTGGTAGCACAATGCGTGCATCGTTTTCCTTTATGGTATCATCATTTCCTTCCTAATCCTGCCCTTCGTGGGCTATGGTTGGCTGTTAACATTTCATTTGCTGACCTGTCCGTTTTTGTCATAATGTGACCTGTGGGGTTTGACCCTTCCACAGGGGTGGTCGACATTGGAAGGTTACCCACTAGTGGGGTCTTGCAGATTGGAGTCATTCCTGCGTGAGCAAACCTCAGCCTGCAGCTCTGCTGCTTGGATCTGACGGAGGCAGGAATCTGTTAGAGCCTGAAACAGTAACTGTGTGCAGTTCTATAAATGCTACGTTCATGTGTTTGGCAAGTACTGTTGGGAAGTGGAGGTCCTCTGTATATACTTCCCTCTGTCCCCCAGCTGGCTCTTGGCAAGCTTGACATCATCAACGTACAACAATTTTGGCATCACAGGAAGACTCCTCTGTCAGTGACTCATAATCTCTGATTTTCAGAGAATGGTTCTACTTTCTTTAAATCTTGCTAACCACCTTAATTTTTCACCTCTCACTCCTCACTTGGAATTTGGCCCAGTGTGAGCTGGAATTTTGCACTAATGAATCCTCCAGGCTACACTGAGAAGAAGAGTATGGCTCTCCTCTGTACACTTGCATCTGCAGCATGGTGCAGCTAAAAATCACATTAATTATTAAAATAGATGTTTTGCAGAAAACAATCCTGAAACAGGTAAGAAAATGAATTATTCGTTGTTTTCCTTGGTTTGCAGCAGTGCAGGTTTTCTGTAAGACTTGCCAAAGATTAGACAGGAGTTTTCCTACAAGATCATGCAGGAATATAGTAGGAGTGGCTTTGTGCTTTCCCCTGTGAGTAGCATGCATAGAAATCAGGTCATTACTTATTCTAGTAAAGGAAATTGTTCTCTATATAGAACTATAATTAGAAAAGGAGATTTAGCTATAAAACCTCCAAGCAAGAACTGGGTACAGCAACTTAGATCAAAATGAACTATGGGGAAGGGCAGAGGGTTTGTTACTTGGTGGTTGTGTTCCCAGACCTGGGCTCCACTGTATTGAAGGACTCTAAAAACACGTAACTAAAGGTGGCGTATTCATCAGCCTTGGAGATGAGCAAAAGAGGAGAACATGGAGTCAACACCTATCATTCAGCAGAGCTGGCAGCTCAGTAAAGCAAAGCAGCACAAGAAGAGGTGGAGAAAGGGAATGAGGAAGCTTGTATGTTTATGGGCAGTTTTTCCATTGCAAGGGCAACCAAGGAAGGCACATGGAGATGACTGTGAAAAACATAAGCAATGGACAGCAGAGCATGGCACTGTGACATACTGGAAACAAGGACAGACATATCCCTGGTGGATACAACATGGCTGAGAAGGTCCTTGAAAGAAAAACACGGTCCAAAATGAGAGAGTGCATGTTGAAGGTGGAATTCACAGAGATGTTGGTGTGATTATCGTGGGGCTGGTGCAGTTGGCACAGAGAGCTTGGCAATAGCTGTGTGCCAGGGTCCTGAATGGGTCTGAGGATGGCAACACTGCATGGTCCGGGGTCTGAGAAGGTGAGGACAACTTCAGGGGCAAATTTTAGTTCTGGGGATGGATAAGAAAGGCTGTGCTTCTCAGAAGAGGCCAGTCAGGAACTATCAACAAGATGTTGACATAACCTAGGTGTAAAGCCCTGAAGAGAGGTTAGGGGCAAAACTGGAGCACTTGGTCATGGTCCAGAGACAAGACGGGAGTGTTCTCCATAGCTGGAAAGAGCTTTGTAGGCACAGCAGGTTTAAGCTGGGGAGAGTTGTTAGGAAATGGTGAACAACTTGGGACTGTAATATGAACATCAAGATAAAAGTCTGGAGCAGAGAAAGCTCTGTGACTCATTGATGGGGCAAGAACTGCCAGGATTGTGCTTGCAAAACAAGATTAACCAAGGAGAAAATGTTGAAACGGGAATAACAAATATAACAATGGCAGAACCCCATGGAGAGCCCTGTGGATAGAAAGAATCCTTCACAGGGCTTGCGGCAGTAATGATCAGAAAGGTGGGAGATAGGAGAGGACAGTCTCAGAAACTAAGAGGAAAACAAATTTGAGAAAACAGCTGTGGTCGCCTGTGTCAAAGGCATTTGACAGCTGAGCACTCTATGTTTACTCTGGTGACGTGCTCTGTCCTGAGCAGGTTCCTTTTAATTCATCCAACAAAGCACTCGTGCAGTGCCCGTCTCACCACAGGCCAATCAGCAGTGTGTACACCTGGCAAAAACAGTGCCAAAATCCTCAAAACCAGTAAATCAGCTCAGCCCCTTAGCTTTTGTCACCCATCCTTGTCAAACCAAGGCATCCTTCTGGAAAGACTCATTAAGCAAGCCCTACCCAAGCACATGATCCCTCCTTGCCTGCTCAAAAGCATGTGTGAGCTTTGCTGAGTTGCAGACTGATTTCTGGGAATGATTCAATCTTTTTGAGTTGACTCAGTCCTACCCGATGGGAATGACACGTGTTCTGCACCTCATGACACAGAACTCTCAGGCTGATCCAGCTTATGAAACCTGCCTTCTCACCTCGGTGAAGCCGCCCCTTCTTGACGTGCTGCATGGGGGAATGCCAAAGGAGCAGGATGCAGAAGACATGAAGATGCAGTTTGCTGCTTCTCTTTGATAGGGGTATTTGTGATCCTGATTTGGCTCTGGATGGTCTCACATGTTCCTTTAAGCTGTTGTGACTAAGCCATCATCTGCCTCTTCACTTTCTCCCAGTTTCCCATTCCCATTGGTCAGTTGGTTGGAATTTAAGCCAACTGTCATACACTTTGCCTTGAGTTTCCACAACTCTGTCCCCACTGC